GTGAACCCAGGAGTATGAGGTGCTGATTCCTGATGAACCCATGTGATAACAAAGGCTTTTCTTTCATTTGCCTTATTTCCAGTGTTGCCAAACGGGAAACTTTAAGCCACGCTATAAATTGATGCTTATGGAGTTTTAGCAGTGCAGAGCAGGTTAGGTTAACTCAAAATTAGAGGCATGAAGTTATGGGTTAGTGTATCAGAATGTGGATTCAGCAGATTAAGTACGTGCCAATCTCAGAGAATAGTGTCAGATTGAAGGTTGCTGAAAATCATGTGTGGAAGTTGGCCATGCAAATGGGAAAGCCCCACTGAGACCCTTCTGTGAATTTGGCCCTTAACATTCTCTCTTAGGCAGAGGAGCAGCAAATTGTACATAGGGTCTGAAACAGACTCATCTGGTTTTTTTGCTTTATGTTGTTCTGGAGATGTTTTTTTGTGCTCTGCCATTGCTGTCTTTGTTCGCTTGGATCAGATGCTCTTGGCTAAATTGATTGGCCACAGCAGCTTTTTGTGATAAGCCTGACAAAAATAGGTATAACTGCTCCTCAAGACTTCTCTAGTAGACTTGCAGAGAGCAGATGCTAACTCTTGTGCTTGAATATCTTTGATTCAAATTTAGGGATATTTCAAAGTTGGCATTCTCAGTAGAGTTGTAAAATAGGTTCTTACAAAACTCCTTTTGCACCTGAGCAGCCGATTCCTGTCTTGGTGGTGACTGTAACCCTGCCTCTCTGGGCAGACCTCTGCGGAGGTGGTCACCATGGAGTTTGTTGTTGAACCACCACTAGCATGTCGCATGCTTTTGTAGCTGATGGGTCAGGGAGGAATAAAGCTAGATGATTTTCACTGGAAAGGAGACAAAAATGTTTCCACTTAATTTGATTGGCCTGCCATTGCAGGAGCTGCTAATGATGTCTGCATGGGACTCAGGGGACCACTCAAACTGGTGGAGGGAATCATAAGAGATATTGCTAGTAACTTAATCATCTCCTTTGATGCTGCGGTAGAGGTTTGTCTAGTGTCCACTGCTAGATGCTATGTAAGAGCACTTCTGAGGTAATTAGTGCCCTGTCCTGAAGGTGAATTTTTGCTTGGGGAGTGGAGTACCAGTGAAAATTAAAACCCATTAGCTTTTCTCTCAGGAAGTTTTGCTGGGCTAGAGAAAAACATGATCTTTAGGCATTAATAAGGCTTAGCCTTGATGGGGAGAGCCCGTTGTGAGAAAAGATCCTTGGTCTCTTCTGCCTGTGAGGCAGCAGTGTCTGTGGACGGGGTGCGCTGGCTTCTCCTCTCCGCACCTGTGGGAAGGCAGGGGCTGGTGTACCCTCAGCAGTAGAGGCTTTGTCAGTGCAGTTTGGCTCCTCTAGTGCAGGCAGCTTCTCATCTTGTGTAATCCCAAAAGACCCTGTGTTAGGAAAGGGAAGAGCAGCTCCCTTATCCAGCACAGGTCCTAAGTTAAGTCAAAGACTGTGACTGAGACCCCGGCCCTTGCAGAGGGTCCCAATTCTTGCTCACCTTCACGTATACTTTCTCATTCCTATGCTATGACCACTTAAACTCCCTGGGTGCCTGATGGTTTAGTGTAACCTGAAGGAGAACATGCACATGCAGCAGGAGCAATGTATAGGGTAATGTACATGTGTTAAAAGTGAGGCCTCAAAGGTGCTGAAAGCCCTCTGATGGCCTAATAATAACTACTAATGCTAATAAAAATTAGTGAACTCCTCACCTCCTGGCAGAAGGCTGGAATAATAACTACAGAGTCTTTGTTCAGTCAGAGATAAGAATGGGTCGGCCTTGTGCAAAAACCTCTTTCCCGGAGCTGTCCTCTTTTGCATCCAGTCCCCCACTGGCTACGTTTTTATCTTCCTGAATTATGAGAGGAAATGGCTTCCCCCCTGCCCATGCTCCTGCGACAGGAGTGAGGGGGAGAGGGATTAGTGAGCTAATTAGAAATGATCGCATCTATCAACGCTAATTAACAATCCTGTGGTCTCACTTGCGTGTTCTTTTGAGCCGCTCCCCTTCGGGACAGCGCCACAATCAGCCCCTGCCTTTGGGGCCGCTCCGTCCCTTCTGCGCTGATTGGAAGTGATAGCCGGGCTGTGCGTCGTGTCGGGTAGGGACAGGGCTGCTCGGGATGCGCTTCCTAGGCTGCAGCGTTCCCTTTCGGTTTCTGCTGTCACCAGGGGCACCCCTGGGCCTCCGTGGGTGCAACGTTGCTGCTGCTAATGACCACAGAATGAAAACGGCAGGGGGATTTGTTTTCAACACCTCTTTCTTCCAGTGGCTTTTTCACTTGTGGTGCTAGAACTTAAAGGGCTGCTTCTCAGCAGAGCTAAACGAGCCAAGAGAAAGGCAGTCTGCTGAGTCTTGTGTGGAGCTGGAACAGAGTGAGGTTCTGTTCCCACCTCTGAACTAACGTTTCAACAGTGGATCAAGTGCTTGTTCTGGCAAAATGGTCCCAAGAATTTATCAGTGCAAGACCTAAAACAAGTTCTTTTCCTTTTATCAGTGTGACAGTGCATGGACTGGAGGTTAGCAGTAAAAAAGTTAAAAATACTAATAAACTTGCCAGGCAGACTGACTTAGCTGAATTGATTGGCCATGGGGAGTCCTACCAGGATAATTAAACTGCTCCTTCCTTACATTTCCCTGTTTAAAAACAGGATGAGGTGAAAGATGGGTCTGCAATCAGGACAGAGAAGGCTTTATTCCTGTTTTCCTCTGGTCGGGTAGGTGCTTGCTGGAGAATGCTCAAGTCATGTCTGATTCCACCCTCCTCCCCTATTTTGTGCTGGCTCTGCAGAGCTAGTGAGGCAAGGAAGGAGCATCCTAAACTTATGTGAAAGAGCCATACTTGGGGATGTAGGTATTCACTAAACTAATATATTCAGAAGTCTCTCGTGCACTGAAGTACAAACCAGAAGGAGCATGGCTTAACTCTTGACTATTTCTGGTAATAGGGCTGGGTGATGTTGAAGTGTAAGGAGGGATAGTGTTTTGGGGCTCAGGAAGGGGAGAGAAAACACAGAAGACATGTTGGTGGGGGAACATTGTTTTATTTAAAAGTGGAACATAATTCACTTGGGCATAATGAAATTAGCTTCATGATGTTTTCTTCTGTATTGGCTGGAAGTAGGAGTACCTTCTGGAGTAGAAGCTGACAGTATAGGTAAAATAACAGATTTAAGCACACAAATCAGAAGGAAAACTACTAAAATATCCCACTAGGAATACTGAAGTACCTGAAGTGTGTGGAGAGGCAGGTGGGCTATGGAGCTGTCAGTGTGGTGTACCCAACACAAGAGACGGTTGTGGAGCTTCAACAGATAAAATTTAGACGAACTATGGAAGAGATGTACATTTGCTTGAGAGTCTCTGTTGTTCAAAGTGCCAGGCATCAAAAACACTCTTGTTTTGGTCTCAGACTGCTGTCTCTTATTCTAGGAATGTTGCATTTTCAGAACCCTTTTCATGATGCTAGGAATGGAGATTTATTTTGCAGGGAGTTTTCCCACAAATCTGTCTTATTCAGTGAAGAAAAGCAATGCACAAGGAATTATTTTGAGGCCTTCTTAATCAGTGCATCAGAGAGTGTAGGAGGTGACGAATACTCCTAATTCTGGATTGTGGGAAAGTATATCCTAGCCCAGAGAGTCCTGAGTCCAGGGAAGCCAACAAGAAAGCCTTGAAAGAGGCCTTTCAGGTGTGTGTTGGTGTGTTCAGCTGAAACTTTATAATTCCCTTGGTGATGTGCATGCAGTAAACTGATGCACTTTAGAAAACGGTTGACACAAACTTTCCTATACCTTGGTCCTTCTCTTCCTGGTATTCGAGCAGCGTTCTATGACTTGTTGGCTGCAGGGAGCTGTATTCAGGCATGAAGACTTTCAGAGCATGCTGCGGTGCTCACAATGTCAGTAACAATTTCCAGCTAACGCAGCTTTTTGGTAGTGTCATCTCTCATTGTCACATGGGCTTTCCTTGGGCTTTTCCTTGTCTCTCATTCAGAATTTTGACCTTCCTTATTAATTAAACAGCAACTTTCCTGCAGCCCGTGATTGAGTTATTCAGTAATACCTGCCTAAAGCCATCATAATAAAGGACAGAAGTTCTTTTTAATGCAAATTATTTGGTTCCAGATGTTTTGATCACATTAAATGATGGCTCAAATTAACCAGAGATTGGATTAAGCAACAGGCTATCTTGGCTGCTTTTTTTTAATCATCATGATTCCTAACATGTTTGTTTCCCAGAGCATGCCCTCAAAAAAGGCAGTGTAGCCCCCAGTTTTCCTTTCTGTGAAAATAGTGAACAGAGACAGAAGCTATCTAGCTTAGGTGCTGCATTTTTCACAGCAAAAATCTTTCATCTCCTTAAATGTTACCTGCTACTAAGATGCAGCGCTGTCTTGTTTGTGATGTTTGGGAAGGAATTATTCAGGGTGTACAGAAGAGTCTGTGGTTCTGGAAATGACTGTTACATACATTGTCCAAGGCTTTTCAGGTGCTACATCATCCTTCTACACTCTTAAGCAAGTTCTTGTATAGGGAGTAGATGTGTTAGTGGATGGGTCTCATACTTAGAAGGCAAAATCCAGAACAGGATTCAGTGGCTTGATCACTCAACTTTGAAAACAATTTCAAATTTCCAAGTGTAAGTATTTAACCATTTGAATAACTTACCTGGGGATGTGCAGCAGATACTCCCTCTCCTAGTTACTAAATCATAAGCAACTCCCTTTCTGAAATCAGGCTGTACTCAGTCACAGGCTACAGATTTAATCTGGAAGGTGCTAAGTAACAGTCTGTATTGTTTGCGGAGGTCAGAATAGGGAGTTGCAACAGGTTTTTCTGGTGTGAAATCTTACCATTTCTGCCAAGGGTTTATTATTTGGAGCTGAGCAAATAGAAAGAAGAGTGGATCTACAAACTTGACATGTCTTCCTCTTTTTTTGTTTTGTTTTCTTTCCCTGGTTTCTCCATGCAGCTCGGATTGGAAAAATGAAACGGAGGAAGCAAGACGAAGGGCAGGTATGTCCCCTCTGCAGCCGACCTCTGTCAGGATCCGAGGAGGAGATGAGTAGGCATGTGGAACAATGCCTTGCAAAGGTAGAGGCGCAGCAGGATCACCAGCTGCCATTCCCTTCTCCCTACTCCCAGCTTTGTCTGCAGTTGACCTAACATGGGGCAAAAACTAACGTTGCTGAGCTTGCAGGCAATGCTAACTGTCTCCCTAAGATCTGTAGTCACTTCTCGTTGTCTTGGAAGATGGATTCTTCTGGATTTTTCTCCTGTGTTGCATTAGTAACTTTTTTACTTCATGCACCCTTTCACTGTTATTGAAATCTAAGTTGTAGACTGGAAAGGTAGAGCTATTGAAGTTCATGAAGCCTCTGTAGGACTTCATGCTTCTGATGTAGCACAGCAGGAAGAGCTCTTTCTGATCTCTGCCTTTGACAGCATTAGAATTATTTTTTGTTGGGTTCTTTTGTAAGACTGGCATTTGTAAATTTTGCATGACCATCTTACTCCAGAAAGTGCATTTGAGCAGAACCATTCTCTTGCTGTTCATCCCAAAGACAGCAAGGAAGAAGGAGGAACAAGCCCTAGGGGAGGGAGAGAGTTGTGTCATAGGGCTTCCTCTGCTTGTTTCTCAGGAAAAGCTTGAGATAACAAATTCTTTTTTGTTGCCTCAAGTGGTGCATGGTGTAAAGAGAGGTGTCTTTTGATCAGTGTGCCCCCAGAAATAATGCTGTAGGAGAGCAATCTGTTCTTTACATGATAGGGGAATCATGCATGCAAGGCAGGGGAATGCATGTTGAAATGCACACCAGCATTGCTCTAGGTACCAGAGCTTAAATTTCCGTGTGTCAAAATGATGACCCTTGCAACTTGTTTTGATCTTAAGGTTGTCAAGTTCTTCCAGCATCCATTTACTTCTAGAGTTAGATCACTGGGAGTATGGGTGGGAGTAGGTGCTACTGTCTGCTCTATACTTAGCAGCCTTGGGGAAAGTCCAGCTTTTCTTCTCCATCCCACTATCAGTTATTAACCCCAAAGAGTTATTCCATGCATCTCAATGCTCTGCCCCTGCTTTACCCTGTGCAGAGAGAAGGTTCATGCATGACTGAGGATGACTCTGTGGACATCGAGAATGAGAACGGCAACCGCTTTGAAGAGTACGAATGGTGCGGGCAGAAGAGGATACGGGCTACTACTCTCCTGGAGGGAGGATTTCGAGGTGCGCCAGTGTTTTGGGGGCCCTTGTAAATCGTTCTGCTGTGGAAATTAATCATTGCCTGTCTTTAAAGGGAGGGACCTGGAGATTTGCCTCTCACAAAGAGCAGGCCCTCACCCTTTGCTAGAATGTAAAGTGATTTCAGCTTTCTGCCTCTCTTGAATGATGAGAGTCAAAATTTTTGCAAATCTTGAACAAAAGCATGGCGTTATTTCTTGCTTGAGAAATGTGGCTGAAGAGGGAATGAGTAGGAATGGTGGAATGGGGAGATCATTTGAGGAAAATAGCTTCTTATATGTTACACATAGTAAGAAATACGTGAAAAGAGGGAAATAGAAATGAAATTGTAAAAATTCCCAGCCTGGAGTGACGAAAGCTGTTGTATCAGCCTCTGGTGATGTATTGAAGGTGACAGCTAAGTCGCTTTAGCACCTGCATAAAATATTAAAGGGCCAGTTGTGCATTTATCACTCCATCCCTTTTAAGGTTGATAAATGAGACTCCAAGAACCTGCTCTGCACCTCCAGCACTGCAAGCCCTTAGGGCTCTCAGACAAACACATTTTATTTTTCCTCCTTCTTTTGCTCCTTCCCCAGTGACGGCAAAATCGGTTACTGAGGAGAGAGAATGTAATTTTAGCTAGAAATCTGGCCCCTTTCTTACACTCAGCCCTTTGGCCTTGAAGAGGAGGATTTACTAAACTGTTCATTGGCATGAACCTCTGGCACAAAGGAGAGTCTCTCACAAGCAATCCACATAGGCGCATGCCTAATGAGAGGAGGAATGCTGGCTCCCTCTGCTCAATAAAGAGGATGGGATGTGATCTCTAACTATATCAGCTTGTATTTTAATTTAAAATATCTCACGGGGAAAGACCTCTACATAAGGGAGTTGGACTTAAAAGCCAGCCATGTGCTCAGTGACAACCTTGCACTCCTGATCTGCTCTTAACCTTCCTCTGAAATTAAATGGTAGCTGGGTTGTAGCAGAGCAGGTGATTAGGAGCACAGAGGTAAAGGAGCAGCTTCTATGAGTTCTAAAGGCTGCCCAGTGAAGCTCATACCATCGCTTCCTGTGTTTGTAGCCTTACCTAGCTTAGCTTTTTTTTGCTCCCATGGAGAGTTGCTTCTGTACATAATTCCAGGTAGAGGTCTGATGAGACCAGGCAGGGCCTTAGACTACGTTTATGTAGTATAGCCACTACAGTTAGTAGTGGGGAAGCATGGGATGTTTTTGTGCTTCTTGTCACTGCTAGTCCTGATTATAAAAAGCTACTCAGTTCATTTCTGCGCTCTTCTGTGCATTCGTAGTCTCTTCCTTCACCCCCACCAAATACCTGAGTTTGAGGAAAGCACAGACTTCCGCTTCCTTTGGTGTGGACATTGTGTTGTCTTCATCTGGTTAACATTCACGATTGTTTTTGAGTTAACTCACCTAAGTGTGGTCTGAACCTTTCATATTGCTTCAGTCGTATGGAGACCCTGTTTCACATAAGGCTTCAGGTGGACAAAATGTGTGTAATTGATGTGATTACGCTATGTAGATGCAAAATACTTGCTCCCTGTTGCATTTTCCTCCTTATTTTAAGGAATCCTCAAATGTGTTAGTTTGTGTTACATAGATCAACTGCTTTCCTCTACCAGAAGTTAGACAGATTCTAGTATCAGTCAGGGCTCTAACCACTGCTAGATGGCTGCACATGCATGGACGTGTGCTTCTGTGTTTCATACTTAGAAATAGCCTTGCTTCCATCAGGAAGTATGGGATGTCTCTTCTTTCCTTTTTGAGACCTTCATGACACCTTCAAGAGTGTTTAATTACATGAACAGATCCAGCAAAGTATCGGAAGACTAGAAGAGTAGAGCACAGCTAGATGTGCTTCTAAAACCCTCCATAATTACCCTGATGGGAAGGCTTTTGGATTAGACTCCTTCCCTTTGTGGTCCTGGATGAAAGGTGTCTGTAGATCAGTTTGCAAACACAGGAACCTCCCTGTAGCATTTGTGGTGAGGAACATCCTCTCTGCAGCTGAAAAAATTACTCCACCGGAGAAGCTGGCAGGTCCCCAGCTTAGGCATTTCTCCCTGCCCTTCGTCCTCTGGAGCACACCTCTGCTGGCAGCTGGAATATCTCTTTCTCGAGGTGTCTTCTTCCATAAACAGGGGAACTTTTTGACACCAACTTTCTACCTAGGATTTTGGGATGACCAGATAATATTTGCAGGGTACCTACCTACTCTGCACAAGAAGTTTCTGTAACATTTGGGAAGCCAAAGCAAGGCTGGAATGGGCTCCTATCATTGGCTGACTATTTTGTTTAAAAAGTTACACTTTTTCATGTTCCCTTTTGTAGTTCTCGTATTATCCTTGGCTGCTGGCATTCTCCATCAGTCAGGCTTGCCTTGTGCACTCTCAGGTAACCTTCAGGTGACTGTCTTTTTCCTTTCTTTGCCGGTGTTGGCTCTTGCCTTGGTTTAGGGACAGAATTCTTAATTGAGAGACCTGAAGCACAGCACAAGGTGTTGAAGATGCTTTCCAATGCTTAAAACTTCTTTGTCTGGATTTGGCAAGGCCCTTGTTAACCCCTGTCACCTGAGGCTTTGTTTTTGGCTCTGTTCCCTTTGCTGAGAAGTAGCAGCGATGTGGAAATTGAAGGCATTTTATAATGCCACACAGCCTTTGCCAGGCTACAGGGATGTCACCAGTGTCTAAAGAGATGACATGGGGAAATACATAAAACCGGAGGGGAAAATAGATGTCTGTGTGTCTCATTAATTTTTGTTTTAATGGTGTGTTGCTTTGAGGAGATGTCACAGCTGAGCAAAGAGGGAGCAGGACACTGTGGCCAGAGTGTATTGCATGAGTTGGTCAGACCATTGGGCAGCATGACAGAAGTGACTTAAACTTAACACAGGTCCTGGCTGCTTCTTGTTGCATTTTTGGTTAATAGACAAAGTTCATATCACTTTCAAGGTGAGGAAAACTCTTTGCTAATTATGTGAAAGATCCTGCCAAGTTCTCGGGTGGGGTAAGGTTGGGAGGTCTTGTGAAACCAAGATTCTTCTTGGCGGCTTCTTCATGAAGACAGAAAGGTGAGGGGAATGAACAGCCCTGCTCAGATTTTCTGGGAGGTGGTCTAATACTTAGGAGTAATCACAGGCTGAAACTCTGTTGCGCGGTTCCTAGGGTGATGCTTTCTTGCTTCCAAAGCACTTGCAGGGAAGACTTACTCCTCTCACCTGAGGGGCTGTCTTAGAAGGTGGAAATTCTTTGTCTTCTGGTGTTGGTGTTACAACTGCAAATCCCAAATCAGGTTTAGTGCAGCAGAGCCAAAGCACACCTTCTTGCCTGCCACGGCTTGGCATACTTGAGGCAGCAGTTGGAAAGAACAGGAGATGGCAGCAAGCAGGAATATGATGTAACTGGGAAGTGTGGGGATCAGTATGTTGTCTCTTAAGCTGTTGGGTTTGGTGAAGGCATTCAGTCAGGAAATACTTGATACTTCTAGCTGTCCTCTTGGCTTATTAAAGCATTGTTTGCTATCATTTCATTTGTTTAACCAAATGCAGGGTGTAAATGAGGGTTATTGGCAATTATATAGGATTTGGAAGCACTTCGTTTCAGCAGAGGCTCTGCTTAAAGCAGGGGCTTGTAGTAGGAGAGTTCTTGTTTCTGTTTGGGTGTAGGTGCAGAAGGCTACCTGCATGAAATACCAAGCACTGTTTAAATCGAGCTTGTGAAAAGCTATACAGATACAATAATCAAATATTTCCCTATCTTAGTACAGCGTCACAAGACTAAAATTTCTGTTGAAATGCCGGAACATTCGGTAACCATTTATCCCCATGTCTCTGAATCATCCCTCTCCGAAGCTCTTTGTTGCAAGGGATTATTTCATGCCATCTTTGTCTAATGACTTTCTGTGTTTAGGAAGCCAACAAGGCTTCACAAGTGAAAGCATCAAGTGGCTCCCTCTCTCATATTTTTTTCTTAATGCTCAACATATTTGTAGCAATTCTTCTGTTCCTCTCCAGAATGGATGCCCGTTACCCTCAGTGTTTACACTGTAAGGTTATCCCTTTAAAGAATTCCTGAGGGAAGTTCAAAGGGGTTTTTTTCTTTGAAAGATTCAGTGTCTCTTTTTGTGTGTATGTCTCTTACTTGAAAGAAGGGAAAGGGAGGGGGAGAATGAAAAAAAAAAAGTGCTTTATCTGGAAAGAATCACATCAGCTTCGCACTGATAGAAGCCACTGTCATCTCTTAAACGGCTTAGCACAGTCAAAAGGCAAGAGGACTTAAAACAGTGTCTTACACAGGGATCGATGGGTGGAACACATAACTCGTAACTGCAAAAAAAAAAAAAGTGTGGGGGGAGAGATAACGGTAACGATTGCATTGAGGGAAGCTTGAGGGAGGCTTGTTCTTTGTAACACACACAGCTTCAAAGGTGTCTGGACCGGTGCCTAAGCAAACTGTCCTGTGAAGTCACTGCCTCTGTAGATCTGGGGAAGGTGGGGGGGATGCTTGCACCCTTCTGTTTCTTAGCAGATGGGACAAAGATTAGTAAATGCCAGGCTAGCAGCTCCCTTCTGCTGCTTTGGATTTGAGGAGAGGATTTTGTCACTTGGTCTCTTGCCGTCCTTTCTGAGAAGGCAGTTTGTCCAGGAGAGAGGAAGGAGGCGAGCAGTGGATGGGGTGGTTGGGGAGATTGGGTGGGGGGGACGGGATGTCAGTTTATCGATCGCACCTCAGTCAGGAGAGCTGCAGGCACAGCGCTCTGAGCACGAGCGGCAGCGTGCTTAATGTGATTGAAAGGCAGTTAAAATGGCGGTGACCTTTTCAGGGGGAATTAGATTGCCTGCCAAGAGTGGTTAGAGGGAGTGATAACGCCAGCTTGAGGAAGCTGTCCAGTCTGCTTCAAAGGGAGAGAGACAGAGACAGGGAAAGCAAGCTAGCAGCAAGTACCATTTAAAGCACGAACCGCACGGTCTGATAGAACAGAGA